GAAGGGTCAAGTTTTACTAACAGCATTAGAGTGCAAAAACTAATTTAAAAAACTTTAAACTTAACCCTATGATGCTGCTCTTTGCACTAGGAACTAATTATAACAAGAGAGTTACATGCATGGTTTGTTTTAAATGTATATTTATTTCAGAAATTTAACATTTTCTTAAATTGAAAATGTATTTCCAGTAGATACTTACCTCACAAATTAGCTTTTTTTCGATCAGTACTGCCCTCTATCAGCACAAATTCTCAACATTTGTCACTAGCCTTCCACCTCCCACTTCTGTATATCCACATGTAAATGATTATGCAGCAGCTATCCACCTATAGGAGTGCAACACAAGCCCTATTGTAACCAGCTCACATTTCCAACCCAACCAACACCTGATCCACCACAAACCAACATACAATGGATGGTAGGAAGGAGGAAAGCCCCAATGTGATGACATCTCAGGTCCCAAAACTGGCAGCATGGAGTATGGTTCTTCTAGGCTACGCTAGAAGGAAGATACGCGGCTGTACAGAAGTGGGAATACATATGCTGCGTTCAGCTACAACCAACACCAGATCCGTCGGGAACTGACATCCAGCAGACAGACCACAAACCTTGGGTGCATCTCCAGTCCAAAACCTGGTGGCATGGGGCATTTTTTATCCAGTCTGTAGTAAGAGGAGGGATACCAGCCAGAACACATGTGAGGACTTACTTAGCTGGACCACCTCCAACCAAACCTGACCCACTGGGAACCACATCCAGAGGATGATAGGTAGGAGTAACATCTCAGCCCAAGAGGAAAACTGCTATTTATACACACACACACACACACACATACGGTGTATCCACAAAGTCCTGTTCTAGTTTTAAAAGTTATTACAACAAAACCAAAAGAGCTGGAATCATGCAGTTTTTAGCACCTTATTGATTAACTAATGAAGTTTTTTCTTGATTTACAGATTGTAATTGGAGTGTCTGGTTGCTAATGATTAAAGTCTGAAGAAAGATGGCAACTACACAAGAGAAAGTTCAATGTGTGCACTTTATAAAATTCAAGCTTTGTGTACCATTGATCTTGGTAGTTGGAGTTCACTTGAAGCATGACGAATAGGCAAGAACTCCAATACTTAACAAGAAGAAAAGTGGGAAAAACGTGTTGGAGAGTCCGAAGGACTGCATCACTGGAGGCAGTGCAACGGGTGATCATGATACCTTATTCTGAAAAGTAGAACTACCATGTCAACAGAGTCAATCAACCAACATCTGGCAGCATTTGGAATTGTACATCAGATCTATGGTAGGAAGAGTCTTAATGCCACGGAGCATCAGAGATGGACAACAATCCCTGTCTGCGCTATTCATGTGTCCATGAATGTATGGTCTGGAACCAACATACTTATGAAGCAAAAGACCATTAGAGAGAACTACTAGTGGTCCTATAGAACACCCCATCTCTACAGTGTACCTAACCTAATCCTGCAATGTAATTGTTTTGGCATAGATGATAATTGAATGAAGACACACAACCAACATCTGGCAGCATCTGGAATTGTACATCAGGTCCATGGTAGGAAGGGCTACAATGTAATTGTTTTGGCATAGATGATAATTGAACGAAGACACACAACCAACATCTGGCAGCATCTGGAATTGTACATCAGGTCCATGGTAGGAAGGGCTACAATGTAATTGTTTTGGCACAGATGATAATTGAATGAAGACACACAACCAACATCTGGAATTGAACATCAGGTCCATAGAAGGAAGGGCTACAATGTAATTGACATCAAGCATGATCACAGAATGGACAGTGTGGATTTTAAAAAAAAAGTATACCTGGTCAGTCAACACTCACCACAGAATGGGATCTACAATACACTAGCAAAAATGCCACTGTAAATATAGAAATAACAAAAACATAGTAAAGAAAAACTAAGTCTGTAATATAAAAGAAAACATTGATAAACTCGCGAGGGAAAACAAGCACGTCTGTACAGTACTACTGCCAATCGAAAAAGTGATTAATGAGTGCAAACATGGAGAGGGTGCTGGTTATGATAGTAGTTGTGTCGCACTCCTATTGGTGGAGAGCTGCTGCATCATCATTTACATGTAGATATACAGAAGCGGGAGGTGGAAGACTAGTGGCAAGCATTGGAATTTTGCGACGATAAAGGGCAGTACTGATTGAGAAAAGGTATTTTGTGAGAGGAGGTAAGATATCAGAACTTTTAGTTTTCACAGGATGTATTGTTGCTATTCATACAGCAATATCTGGTACTACGATCAAGAAAAGTGAAAATCTGTAATATAGTCAGTTTTAATTCAGTAATCACCATCGAGTATATGGTCACAGCTTCTAATTAGTTAATCACTAGTGATTTCATGGTCACATTTTTAACTAGGTAATCATCAGTGACCTTGTGGCCATAGTTTTTAATTACTTGATCACAAAATTGACTACATGGTCACAGTTTTTAATTAGGTCGAAGAAAACTCAAGCTGTAATCAATAAAAGCCCAATCATACATAAACTAAAACATGGAAATTATAAACTTAAAGGGTACAGCTTGAGATATAAGCTTAAAGGATATAGCTTGAGCTATAAACTTACAGGATATAGCTTGATATACAAACTTACAGGATATAGCTTGATATACAAACTTACAGGATATAGCTTGATATACAAACTTACAGGATATAGCTTGAGATATGAACTTACAGGGTATAGTTGACACATAAACCTAAAGGGTATAGCTTAAGATTCATGACCGATTCTATATTCATGACAAGGATACAAATGAATAATATTTGAATTAAAAATCAAAAAGGTAGGAAAAGTATTGACAGTAGAGAGTCTACAAAATAAACAGAAGCAATGGATGAGCTTTTTTCCCTATTCCTAATTAAAATATTCTAACTCACATTGGAGAAACATTTTGTTTACGTACCTTCTACCAAGAAATGTTCCTCAGGATGTTTACCTTCCTCATTCTCAACTGTAAAAGGATATGACTTAGTTGACATCAAGCTATCAGGTGTTCTATTGAATGTTTTAAATTTAAACTTGCTAACTTCAGGGTTCAAAACTGGGCAAGTAATTTTCCTATTTTCTATTATATTTTTTTTTGTCATATCACCAACACATTGGCTTGGAAAACAATGTTTAGCTGGAACATTTTGGTGTTTTGAAGATATGTTTTCAACTGCTGACTTGCATTTAGTCAGATTTGACTCAGTCACACAGTTTGGTTGAATCTGCGATCTTGGAGTTCTGATAATAGCTGGGTGTTGAGTGGGAGGAAGCAGTCTGGGTGGTTCATGCTTAGGGATTCCAGCAGAGTCTGACCATGAGGCACTGTGGGGCTTCTGTGGAGTAGTAATTCTCCTATTGGTTGATACTCCAGGAATAAAACCAGCAGCTGTGTTAAAGAGAACCGGTGACGATCCAGAGACACTAGTAGATGCTGAGGATTTGTCTGGAGAAACAAAATACACATATTTGATGTCAAAATATAAATCTTTCATTCACATCTGACATTCAATGATTACACAAACTCCCCAAATAGTTTTGTTTCAGTTTTTGTCAACAGTCAATATTTGAAAATTTCTTGTGGTTTTTTTGTTTGTTTGATGTTAAGCACAAAGCTACACAATGAGCTATTTGTAAGCCAGCAAACTTACCACTGAGCTACTGGGGGGCAAGTTTTTTGTGTTGTTTTTCAACCATATGTTTATATACATTTGACTTTTTATGTTCCTTGCATCTTTCACTATTTTCCTACACAGAAACTTTCACATATTTTATACTCTCTATAATTACCATATATTTTTCATTATTATTATATAATATCTGATAAAAACTTTGAATGTTGGTTCCTGATTTAATTACTGTTTTGGTGTTTACCATTAACTTATGTTTTTTTACTTAAGTTATAACATAAGCCAATTGATTTTTCAATAATAACTCCACAAAACATTTTTTTTTCGTTTTTTCTTGTTTCATCAATAATGTTTGGAAGGTACAGATTTTTTGTTTCGAAGAAATATTTAATGGTTTGAATTTCATTTTCCACATTTTTATTACAGCAGTCTCAGTGCTGTTATCATAAAAGGTTGAGACAATAAAGTCAGTTTTACTTCCACAACATAACAGCTAGAAGACTTCTTAGAGAAACAGCAGGAACCTGGTAACTAGATGTATACATTAATTCACACCTTCAGTACTCATTCAAAACCTACTCTAGAAAATTAAACTTGAAGTAAACTCTAAAGCATGCTTAACACTGTCTTATATATTTATTAAGACAAAAAGGCTGTCTTTGAATTCACTTTTACTTGAAATCTACATGTTTGTCACAGTTGAAATAACCATTATTTTCATCCTTCCACAGCCAGTTTGGAGTAAAGTATGTTTATCAATTTCCTTACAGATGTTCTGCATACAGTTATGACATTTTTGTTCATTGGATATCAAAAGGTTGTATACATGTACTAAGTCTTTTGCTTAGGTAAAGATTATATACTGCAAAAGCTATTCCATAAAAACTTGTATCAGTTTGGCCCTGTATCTTTGTCTACTCCCTGGGGTGGGATAATCTCATCCCAAAGGATGAGACAGATAATTATAGTTAGTAAGAGTTCAGAGTTCCCTCTCTTGAGTATGACATTATGGAATACTGAACTTGGATATTGACTTGAAAGGAGGATATAACATTATTTTCCTGTCTTTGTCCAGCTGCAGCAGCCATTGACCAACTTTGTTAAACTTCTTGTGATATTTTATTTATTCACTTGCACTTACCCTTTCTTTCATTTATTGCCTATGTTTGATTTATTCTCTACATAATATTTATTGAACTTTTGACTATTTGTTAGGTGGTATTGTACCTGAATACTAGATGCCTATGATCAACATAAACCCTCTTTCTATAGTTTGTATTAGTTTTAGTAATATGAATATATGTGAAGCTCATTTGTTAGGTCACTATCATATTTTTCTAGTTAATTGCAATGTGTCTGGGAATTTTTGTTATATTTGAGCTTGATGTTTGCTAGCTTATTAACATTATTTAAAATATGTGATGATTTTATGACTCTTAATATACACCTGGAAAAAAGTTAAGCA